AGAAAGTGGGGCGATCTCGCTTGTATCGCAATTGCTATCCAATCATCGGAGAGGATACATTTTTGGTGACTAATACGGGTCAAGTCACACAAAAACTTGGGCAGAACACCTTGGGGCGCAAGACATGATAAAATACCAGGAACCTGCAGCGTTTACGGTGCTTGTTCTTGTATGGAGCGGGTTAGATAGCGGTATATCGATATTTTATGGTGAACTGGAGACACGATTGTACGGGATTGCGCTGTTTCTTGAACAATCGACGCCATTGCTCTTCTCCACTCTCTGTCTTCAAAGAGCTTACCATTCTTGCCCGCAGAGTTTTGTTCCCCCTGATCTTTTGTGTATTATACCTCTCTGGTCTTCCCGCTATGCACCCACTCTATACTATCTAAATTGTGGGGTCCCGAACGGAGATAGTTCTAGGATGTATGCCGGGTCGGGAGCGTATAGAAATGGCAGATTTGCCACGCGAAAGGGATGAGATTGTATATAGCGGCTGTATGCCATCCATTCAGGGTGCCATTTTTGGGCTTCAGGGTGTTGCTTTTTCTAGAGATGGTGTGGTTGATCACAGCTCACTATGACCGAGTGAGTACCATACCTGGCGGCGAGGTTGGCGGCGGGTAGTATGCGAGTATTAAGTTAGGATCTGCTGTAGGCGCGATCGTTTGGATGGCGATCCTGGTTGTGAATAATTAGTATTCAAATCTTCGGCTTTGGAAGGCACTTTGGAAGTGATGTACTGTACCGGGTGGTAAAACTTCCTGCAAATCGAAACAAACCCATAAACTACCCAACAACAGCCAACTATTTTCTTTACGCTTTTGCCCGAATAATTAGTCAGTGATCACATCCACATATATCGGCCTCTTTCAATAAGAGTAATTTCCTACCACATGACTCCTCTATTCACATCAGTAGAGATACCTCCCGCAAAATATTCCCAGCTATGTTCAGGTCATATGATAACTGACACATCGCCTATTAGAATCTCAAAACACCCCAGAACACTAGCGAAATTATAATCCAAAACGCAGCAGAGAAGCTCAAAGCACTAGCAAGGGCATCTTCAACGGTAAAGTGCAGAAGTCCTTACGATTCGGCACAGCCTCGACTCACCACCGATCTCAATTTTCAACACCCATGCGAAACGCTACCTTTAAAAAGGAAGCTGCGAGTACAATACCACCAAGCAATTCCCCTTCCATGAATGGCAAGACATGCGGCTACGCACTCGTGTTACTGTAAAGCCGGGACCAATTTTTTTGAGTTTGCTTTCAGCATATTAAAACACTAATGGCTGGAGGTTTTGTGTCTTGCAAGTCCTCCACTAATCCAGGGAAAATTGCTGCATATTGCTAACCCATTTGGTCCCTAGGATACACGGGACTGAGAGAGCAAATCCGGGCCTAGGAAAACAACCAGACCTGGATAATCAATGAAACTTTATATACAAACATAAAAGAAATACGAGAAAAGAAAAAAAACCAATCAATTCGTGTCCTCGTAATGAAAGTAGCACAGTATTTTGGCTAACTCTCACTCGTTCTTTCACAGATCAGCCGCACCTCTTTCGCAAATCGGAAGTTCGTGTGTTAATTGTTTCTATCGTATGGGCGGTCATTGGTTACAGGAAAGAAGGTGAAAAACACCCTTTTACCTCTCTCGGCCACTTGTTCCAGAAAAATCCTCCATCAACCGACTACATGCACAACCCTTAGAAACTTAAATGTCGAAAAAAAAACAATATAAAACCCTGAACACATTATCCAGGCTTTTTGAAAAACTTGGCTCTATCCCCATCCTCACAGTACCGAGCCTTGAAAATTGAACAAGACAAGCTCAAGGTGAGGCTTTTAGGTGCCCTGAGGCCTACCCGACTGGGAAAGTAATTGAACAGGCACACCTAGCCTAGTATCGCTTTCCTAGAATATAGCTAGCACCCCCCAAACTCACCAAACTTTATAAATTAAAAGCAGAAAGCCATTTCTTGGGGCCCAATAGGCGGTGAGGACGTAGACCATGCCGTCTGTGGTACGCTATAATTCACAACAACCACAATGTGAGCTGTATGATATGATACCACGTGGTGCATCAGGGTGAGGACTTGCCCTCTATCAGATCGTACCGTGAGGCTCGTTCGCAAGCAGAGTAAAAGGCGACCGGCGTACACAGTGTCGGAGCTATGTGGAGAGAGAAAAGAAAGCATTAAATACCTGATTATACTCGCAGTTGGTACAGATATATCCTGTAAGTGCTTTGGCTACATAAAACACCAGATAGCCCAGTCGGTGGCGTAAGCTTCCTTCTCTCCCTCCAAAAACCTCCAACGGGCCGGTCCTTCGTTGGGTTAATCCGGGTTCTCCGTTGAGTTGGGCTGGGTTCTTCGGGTTTTTCTCACGGATCTCTCTACCTTCGGTCGGGCCCACGGAAGGGGCTCAGCCCACGCTACCCGACGAACATTACAAATTTTCCGCGCTTAATTTCGCACTTCCGGAACGCTTTCCCGCAAGAGACAGGCTCATTGCTGTCTCGATGGGGGGAATAGGAGCACAAGTGTAGGAAATGTAGATCTCCATGTGGGAGTAGCCACCAAGGTTCCTGGGGGCGTTCTAAATGGGATATCTCATTTGAGACACCAAGGCCTTCCTTCCACTCTAATCTTTATATGGCAAACTCTTACAAAATTTAGTTTGTAAGGTTTATACCCGATACCGTTTAAAAACACATTGAGGTAGGGTCCAAGAAACTATTGGAACTAATTTTCCCATAACAATAATGCTGTTACAAGTACTATAATGACATTGTTATCGTAATATTATCACATATTCTTCTCCAGTCGGGTGTAAGTCCAAAAATACCCCTTTTTTTACTCTTAACCAATCGGCAAATGATGGAGCTTGTCTCTCCCCTTATGACGCCGCAAATCTAAGTAAGCTGCGCTTCAGATGTCGAGCAGTTATGAGCGCAGTTCCAAATCTCACAGCATGTCACTCGCGGTGAAGATGCAAACGGGGGGGTACTAGATGGTTTCAGAGCTAAAGTTTATAACAGCATCACTCGCATCTTACCGCTGCGACGGGGCAGTATTTGATGTCGCATCTTGGGTCCGGGTTCGTTTTTTACGCCAGCCGCTCTTTGTACTTTACCGAGCTGAACTAGTCGAAATGGTCGCCGTCTTGCTGATCCATCTAGCCTAAAAAGCGGCTACAACGCCATCCGGAAACTCAAAATTCGCATGCGAACCGTAGAGCGCATTGTAGGAACCTTAGTGCAAGTACTCTCTCCTCAGGTGCGGAAATGGCACAACTGGACCCTGATACGATCTCTGACAGAGGTGAGTTCAATAAAGTGCACGATAAACTGAGGGGATCTAAGTTACCCTTCGCCTGCAACGGAAACCACAATCGCGGGACTTGAGCCCATGATGCCCGATCCGGGAATCCGGGCGCTGACATAACACAGCTTGAACATCTATGACAAGGATTGCGGGAATGGCGGTGGGGTTGTTAGTTGAGGGTCCGGGGGGATTCGGGCATAGGATTTTGGAAGTTGCTAAGTTTTATCTACGAAGGGTGGGGTTATATCTGTCGGGTTGGGGGGCCTGTTCAGGTCGGAGTGGAAGAGTCCTTCTAAGGAAGAATTTGAGTAAGGATTCTTTGTCAACAGTACGTTCCGGTAACGCCGTCAATGAGCTCTTTTAGTAAAAGACCTGGATGGAATTTCACGGTTGTAGAAGGCAAGGAGGTTTTATGCTAAAAATGATATCACCGCAAGGGATTAGAGGCGATGACTGGTTGATAAGGATTAAATTTAACGCTAAATTATATAATATCAGTAAACACCTCTGCCATCTTATGATACTATGATACTACGGCAGGGTAGTACGGTATCATACTCATGTAGTCTCTTGAGTCGGGGTTCTTTCCTACACTAATCACCCACTTCACTTCCGCGCCCCACTCAGAAGGGGAGGTTAGAAGACGGAAGCCAGAACCCCTGGCAGGGATCTGACAGGGAAGGAAACTACAAAGAAATCGTGCCAAGGTTGTGGCTCGGCGCCACAACTCCCGAACACGTATGATGCTAACTTTAGCCCGCAACTGGGGGTACTCTAAAGAGTACCCACCAGCTCATCTTAACTCTACAGCTCAACCTAACCTTGGACCGTTCCGTCCAGTTTTGCAAGTGTTTATGCTGTGGAAATGATCACCAAAAAGAGGAGGGCAGTGATTTTGTCTGGGGCAGCAGAACTGAATGGTTGTATCCAAATAAATACTAAGCCGCAAGGTTGGTTGAGCCGGAGACTGATGTTGAGCCAGGAAGTGGTGTTGACATAAAGTCCAGCAACACCGCTAGTCCACCGCTCACCTTGACAAAGTCCAGATATTGAGACAAGGGCAAAGATAGACATCTTGATTGATCGTTATCGGTTGATATCTGGCGAAGAGCGCTAAGCTTGAACTATGAGGGAGTGATAGGCAGCGGTTCCAGTCGTCCAGTCCGTCCTAGACGGGGTCAGGACGACGGAAGACGACAATGTCTCGTCTTTGGACGGACTGGACAGGGCGACGGCAGTCGGACGGCACTAGTCCTGGGTTTCCTTTTATGGATACAATATCACCCTATTAGGGATTTTAAATTTATTTATTTGTTTTACCTTATTTTTGTTTTAACTTATTGTAGGACTAGTGTGTGTCTTACTAGGTAGCATTAGGTGCATTGACCAATTTTAGTCGACTGTCGTCGACGGCAGTCGGACGGGACGGCTGGGAGCACTGGTGATAGGTTATGATGAGATTAGTCATCCGCGTGGCAAGCTTGGCATTCCCTGCCAAGTCTTGTTTCTAAATCAACTGAGGGACGCGTAAATTAACGCATTGCAGAATTGCAATCATTACCCTTGTTTGAATCGCACGCGTGGGGTGCGGTGCCTACGCTCCCGCCCCGGGAACTGATTATTCTACCGCCTCCATCGCCAGGCTGCAACCTCTTACCATCGGCGGAGAATCCATACACTTGCGCGTTCTTGCGAGGAGAGTACAATTCGGAAACGCAGCCATCCACGACATCTAAATCCGCCCCCGACTCTGTCTCTAGTGAGAAGCGAAAGCTCCTTTTGGTCTGTACTAGTATGTGCAGCTTCATGGGCAATGAAACGAACTTCCACAGTTTTCCCGCCTACCTGCGCATCTTGATATCCGTCACTTTGGAGGACTTAGGCTCGAGCACTCACACAGGTATATCTAATGTTCCAGACTAGGCACAACATTTCGGTCGCGACGGGGGGGTTTTCGAAATGACCCTCCAAACTAATTGAAATAGTGGCTGGCTGCCTTGCCGATCCCGATGGCCTGAAACTCGCTACAGTGCCATCCGGAAACTCGAAACTGGCATGCAAACCGAAGACAGTAAGACAACCCGCGCGTATTTCATGCACCGGTACACTACGCATCCTCCACCAGGGCTCCAAGGATCCGCCGAAATACGCAGCCGCAGCCGCCCACCTAGAGCGCTCGTTTGACCTTGCGGGCGCGGGAGTGGGAGGATTGGGTGGTAGTGAATTGCAAGAAACGATGCAGGAAATGCGCCTGGGCTCGACCCGTCTGCCCCTAGAGCGTACTCCAGGAACCTTAGCACAAGGAATATCTCCTCGGATACCGGTAGGGAAATGACACAAGTGGACCCCGACCCGATATCCGGTAGCGGGGAGTCCACGGAAGCACGGGAAAAACCAAGGGGACCCACCCCTGTGCGCAATAAAAACTACAGTAGTGGGGCCTGAGCCCATGATGCCCGGCCCTCCTCCTTCTATACCTACTTATTCCTCTTCCGCGCCGCCGCCTCCGGTAATCCCTCCGTCACCACCGGAGCCCGCGGAATTTGACTGCCACAAATCCCGGACGTGGCCGTTCATAAAGCGGCTGAGAAAGCCCTATCAAGGTAATGGAACTGGGGGAGAAGAGTGTGAAAGATTACGAAAAAGTAGCCCAAGACTGGGGGAAAGCATTTGGAGAGAACGAGCGGAAGAAACGCGAGAAGGGAAGGAAGGAAGAGAAAAAGCCGGTCATTCAGCAGAGAGACTACGGCTAGAGAAGGAAAGAATGGAACGGCAAGAGCGACTATTGAAAGGTATTCTGGAACTACCTGTTTGCAATGCAGCTAGGCAGAGCACTACCTCCCTGAAGGGTTCTATACCATCCCTCTCCCCCTCTCCCCCTCTCGCCAGCTCACCCTCCAACACCGAAGCCTAAAAACCGGAAAAGCAAGAAGCGTGAGAGGGAGTTTTGCCACGCCGGGCGCCTGTTAGGTCAAGGTTGAAATGATGAGGATGAATGAAGTTGTGCTCATTCGGGACTTTTCTTTGTGGGAGATGTGTACGAGAGAGGCTGGTTGGGGATGTTGTCAGGAGAATTGAAGGGGGGGGGAGGAGCGGTGAAGAAAAGACAGGATTGATGGTAATGTGAACTTTTCTGTTAGCCGGGTCTTGCACCAACTGCTAGTAATTTCGATATTTTTGTAAAGACTTCGGTAATGAGGTTGAAGTATTGAGTAACTGCAGGACCACTTTTTCACCACAAGCAATCACTTACTCCCGGTCCAGACCTAAGGTATTACTAAATCCCATATCTCTCTCCCGAATACCTGCCTAGCACCACTCAACCATTCAGCTACAACTGCAGTTTTGGACGACTTGGGTCGTGCCTGGTAGGTGCGCTGAGAAGTGTAAGACTAGAAAAGCAGGCACTTGTGGGGGGTGTACCTCCCTGCGCGGGTAGTGCCTGCCTCACCCCCATCCGGTATTAATAACGTATCATTCGTTTATCATATACCGTATTGCACTTAGTTAAGGTTAGGGTTTGATTTCTGAGATTTGGACTCCGCTATCGTGCTTGCGAATTTGGACGAGTTTCGAGAGGTTTATGGTCAAACAATGATGCCAGTTTGCTAGTGAGGGCGGTGGTATACACTACTATCGTCAAAAAAACACAGCACAAATGTTGACATAACGAAGGACAGGAGTGAAGGACAGGAAACAAGAGGATATGAGCAGATTCTAAAATGGAACGCTAAGAAAAGAAAGCAAAAAAAAAAAGTATATAAATCGGAAACCGCCAGCTAAAACCGGAGGGTAACGGCGTTACCAGAAATGTCTATCTATGATACAGTAAATCAATAGAAGTGTTGCCCACGCCAAGGCCTTACGCGAAAATTATTTATAGAATGAGAATATGTGGGGTGATGGAGGATGTAAACGGAAATAGCTAAAATAAAAATGAAGGAGGCGATGGTAGGATAGCGGGCGGTCGAAAGTGAGAGGGTTGGTCGGATATTGGGATGTGTGTCGACTTTGCTTGGAGGCTATGAGAACTTGAGGTGCCATGTTGAAGGGGGTTGAGACGCGCCGGACGGTTCGGTTGGGGAACAGTAATTATCTGTGAACTTGGAAACAGAGCTATAGATGTCCGATATCCCATTCTACTCAGGTGGGTCTGCTGGTGGGAGGTATGTGATATCGGTGCAAGGATCACAAGCTTGGAAATTGGGTCTCAACGGAGGACTCGCCCTCATGCTCAGTGGAGGGTGGGAGTGTGACCGGGCTACTAGGACCGTTTGTAGCGGAATTGATATTGTCTAGTCCCTGTAGGATCCTCACAACTTCATCATAGCCTTTGGAGAGCGCCCACCATAGTGGTGTTTGGTTCTGGTTGTCTGGTATGGTGTTAAGAACATCTTCCCTTTCCAAAAGTAGCTTGACTATTCCCAGATGGCCACGTCCAGCCGCCCACGAGAGCGGCGTCCGGCCATATTTGGTATCTGTCATATTGGGATTGACATCATCTCGCTCCAAAAGCACCTTTGCTACCCCCTCACGCCCGTACTGAGCGGCCCAAGAGATTGGCGTGCGGCCATATTCGGTGTCTGCATGGTTAGGATTGACATCCGCTCGTGCCAATAGCATCTTTACTACACCCTCATGCCCGCTTCTAGCGGCCCACGAGAGTGGCGCCTGGCCATATTCAGTGTCTGCCGTGTTGGGATTGACATCCACTCGCTCTAAAAGCATCTTTACGACCCCCTCACGCCCGTACTTAGCGGCGAACGAGATTGGCGTCCGGCCTTCGGCGTCTGCCTGGTCGGGATTAACATCCACTCGTTCTAATAGCATCCTTACTACGCCCTCATGCCCGAACTGACAGGCCCGAAAGAGGAGTGTCCTGCCAGATTTGGTGTCTGCCTGGTTAGGATTAACGTCCGCTCGTGCTAGAAGCATCCTGACAACTTCCTCATGCCAGTGCTTGGCGGCCCACAAGAGTGGTGTGCGGCCATATTCGGTGTCCGCGAGGTTGGGATTGACATCCGCTCGTTCCAAAAGGACCTCTACGAGCCCCTCATCACCGCGCTCAGCAGCCCACAAGAGTGGCGTCCGGCCATATTGTGTCTCAGCGTGGTTGGGATTGACATCCGCTCGCCCTAGAAGGATCTTTGCTACCCCTTCGTGTCCGCCCCAAACGGCCCATGAGAGTGTTGTCCGGCCATGTTTGGGGTCTGACTGGTTGGGATCGACATCCGCTCGTTCCAATAGCATCTTTACTATCTCCTCACGCCCGTTTGCGGCGGCCCACGAGATTAACGTCCGGCCAGATTCGAGGACTGGTTGGCTAGGACTAACATCCGGTCGTTCCAAAAGCACCTTCACTACTGCATTATGTCGGCGCGAAGCGGCCCAATAGAGTGGCGGTAGGCACCGTTTGGTGTCTGCCTTATTGGGATCGACATTCTTGTGCCCCAAAAGAATTTTCACCACCCCCGCACACCCGTACTGAGAGGCCCACAAGATTGGCGTCTGGCCGTTTCTGGTGTCTGCACGGTTGGGATTAACATCCGCTCGTCCCAATAGCATTTTTACTACCCCCTCATGCCCGCTCTCAGCAGCCCACGAGACTGGCGTCCGGCCATCTTGGTCTGCACGGTCGGGATTGACATTCGCTCGTCCCAATAGCATTTTTACTACCCCTTCATGTCCGCTCTCAGCAGCCCAGGAGACTGGCGTCCGGCCAGAGTGGGTGTCTGCCTTGTTGGGATTGACATCAGCTCGTTCTAATAGTATTTTCACAACCCTCTCGCGCCCATATTGAGCGGCCCATGAGATTGGCGTCCGGCCATCTTGGGTGTCTGCACGGTCGGGATTGACATCCGCTCGTCCCAGTAGCATTTTTACTACCCCCTCATGCCCGCTCTCAGCAGCCCACGAGACTGGCGTCCGGCCATCTTGGTCTGCACGGTCGGGATTGACATTCGCTCGTCCCAATAGCATTTTTACTACCCCCTCATGCCCGCTCTCAGCAGCCCACAAGACTGGCGTCCGGCCATCTTGGTCTGCACGGTCGGGATTGACATCAGCTCGTTCCAATAGTATTTTCACAACCCCCTCGCGCCCATATTGAGCGGCCCATGAGATTGGCGTCCGGCCATCTTGGGTGTTTCGTTGGTCGGGATTAACATCCGCTCGTTCCAAAAGCATCTGTACTATCCTCTCTTTCCCGTACCCAGCGGCCCACGAAAGTGGTGTCCGGCCATGTTTGAGGTCTGGCTGATTGGGATTGACATCCGCTCGTTCCAATAGTATTTTTACAACCCCCTCGCGCCCATATTGAGCGGCCCATGAGATTGGTGTCCGGCCATCTTGGGTGTTTTGTTGGTCGGGATTAACATCCGCTCGTCCCAACAGCACCTTTACTACCCCTTCATGTCCACCCCCAGCGGCCCACGAGAGTGGTGTCCGGCCATCCTGGGTGTCTGCCTGCTCGGGATTAACATCCGTTCGTTCTAGCAGCATCTTTACAACCCCCTCACGTCCATACTGAGCGGCCCACAAGAGTGGCCTCTGGTAATATTCGGTGTCGGCCTGGTCGGGATTTAGATTCGCTCGCTCTAAGAGCATCTTGACTATCGCATCATGTCCTTTTCTAGCGGCCCACGAGAGTGGGGTCAGGCCAGATCCGATGTCTGTCCGGTATGGATTAACATCCGCTCGTTCCAAAAAAAGTTTTAATACCCCCTCATGTCCCTTCTCAGCGGCCCATGAGATCGGCGTCCGGCCGTCCCGGATATCTGCCTGGTCTGCATTGGCGTCCGCTCGTCCCAAAAGCAGCCTTGATACACCCTCATGCCCATACTCAGCGGCCCACGAGATTGGCGTCCGGCCATTTTGGGTGTCTACCTGCCCTGGATTGACCTCCACTCGTTCCAAAAGCACCTTTACTACCCCCTCACGCCCACTCATAGCGGCCCATGAGAGTGGTGTCATGCCACATTTTGTTTCTGCTTGGTCCGCATTGATATTCGCTCGTTCCAAAAGCATCTGTACTACCCGCTCTTGCCCGAACCCAGAGGCCCACAAGAGTGGTGCCCGGCCATATTCAGTGTCTGCTCGGTCGGGATTGACATCGACCTGTTCTAATAGTATCTTTACTACCCTTTCATGCCCCTCTCTGGCGGCTAGCAATAGTGGTGTTTGGCCATATTGGGTCTCTGCCTGATCCGGATTGATATCCGCTTGTTCCAAAAGCATCTTTACTACCTCTTCTTGCCCTCTGACAGCTGCCCATGTGAGAGCTGTGCGCCCGATGCTATCGGTTGCATTAACATCCCATTCCTTCATCTCCAATACAGCACCTAATATCCCCACGATCCCAAGAAATGCTGCTCCGTGAAGCCCTGTAAATCCCGTAGGTCCTTCTGCTCCTTGAAAATAAGGGCCCCAGCAGCTATCTTGATTGTTGTGTAATAGCATTAGTTGAGCTGATATATGCTCACCAAATCCATTGAGGAGCTTAAGTGCAAGTGTTTTCGCATTTCCTGTCATCCCTCTTCTTATGTGATCCCCCCAGTAACAAGAAGCATACTCGAGAAAGGGCGCTGTTGAGGGGGCTGAACGAAGCGCTGGTGAGAGATCCTTGACACTCCCAAAATTAAGGTACGTCAAGCAAACCTCCGCAATTGTTGAGTGGGGGCTATGGAACAAGGTCGGATCACTCGAGAGATGCTCTTTAGCGGTGTAGTGCACGAGTCGGACCGTGGATGAAGAGGCATCGACTGTAACAAGGCCCTGAGAAGATGATAAGATTCTCCGCAACGTAGGTGCATTTTCAGGATCGAGATCTGTAGATCCCTCCACCCCCAATGCATGGCAGAGCTCCATGGCGCGCAATGGCCGCTCCGAATATAGCACCCACATTAGTACCTTCAA